TCAGGCCAAGTGGCATTAAACCACATGATCACACATTGCCATTTCTCATACCAGAAAAGCAGCTGCTTTTAGATCTTGTGTTGCTGTCTTGTCATGAGTGAGGTGGCTTGAATAATGTCAGAAGATCCTAATGTATACGCGGATAGCTCTCATATGTGCTCTCACTCGTTTTCTGGGTCAAGTACGGCGGAGTAAGGGCCAAAGAGGATAACATTAACTTGGAAGACAATAGTAGGTACTGACATACATTGACAAGCCTGGTAAAATTATATTAAAGTGGGAACGTTTATACCATGCGTGTACAATTGTTAAAACAGGAATGGCTCATTTACGTGTTCAATGTGACCATGACATTTTCCTCAGCATCAGTGAGATCTACGCAGGGCTACTAAGTGCGGGTTTGGAAGTTAAAGCTGACACATTGGAAGTTATTCATCTTAAATGAAGAAAATGAGTTTCTATTCATCTGAGCCTAATCCTCTTTTTGCATAACTAGCATCTCAAATGCAGTAGGAAAAATAATTGGAAATAACTGGGACAGCATCACTTTTTCATCCAAAGTACACATACATACAAATTAGCCAAATGTCCGAGTTTAGGATGGTCATCAAAGAGAGAGAGACATCAAGACTCTGAATTAGAGATACTTATTCATCATACATTTGTGAGGCAGCCAAACATATCTTTACCTTCTAAATTCACACTTCTATCCTAAACAGATTGCTTTATTGAGACTCGGTTACAAATTCTTGGACTTTAAAGGCTAAAGCATTTTGCATATCATCAACCTTCCCAAGTTACCAATCTTTTGGAGAAACCAGCTGCTTTAAAAAACAAACCTGAAAATGGGAAGTGAACACTGATTTTTTTTCTTTTTGATTGAAGATGAAAGTCACAGATTTGTGAACAGATGTGTAAATGCCTCCCCACCAACCCCTTCAGTCCAGGAGCTGTGAAAGGGCAAAGTAACTGAAGTGCTTGACTGTTGAAATGTGAACAAAATCCAGGCAGTTTGATGGCAACATGGAAGATTATCCTTTTAGAAAGTAGTAATTCAGGAGAATTAAGCCAAGGCTCTGTGCAGCAAAAGTGATTAGCAGCCCATCAATGTCCCCACATTAAGCATAACAGAAGATGACCCTCTACAAATACCTAGTTTAATTTCACATTTCCAATATCTCGCATCACCCATCTGCATCTGCAACAGATTTTAATTTGTAAATCTCCTTCCCATTGAGCTAAGACATTTACATAAAGTGCAAATAAGATTCATCCCCTCCTCCCCCCACTGGTGCCAATACTTGTTATCTTTATTACCACAATTACTAAAAGCCAGCTGGCTTAGCTACTTGCATTAGGCTTGGTGACATTCTTCTTTTACTAAAACCCTGGTTACTTTCTTCAGTTAAAGGCAAGTAGAAAACAAGGGATCCTTCTGCCAGATGCAGGAATGATGGGAGGCTACTATGAGTACCATCAATGTAATATGCAGGTGTTAGACAGACAATAAGTACATTCCTGTAAGAAGAACGCCCAATGGTCCGTTGGAAATGGACAAGTCATCTTTGGATCTCATTATTTGCAAAGAGTTCAGGAACAGTTGTTATAAAGTCACTGTGGCAGCAGATCACCATTCAGTCTTCATGCAGAGCTCCTTCTGTCTTCCCTGCATCTACAATGAGCAATTGAAAAACCTGTTAAGTCCTAGTAAGTAAGTGTTTTGAACATCTAATGTGATAGCAGTAATCAGGAGACTGGGGGGGGAAGGGGGGGGAGTAATATCTGTATAACAACAGCCATACTGGGTACTGGGTCAGACCAATGGTCCACCTATCCTAAGATCCTGTCTCCTACAGTGTCCAGTATCAAAGGCTCATGGGGAATATATGGAACAGGACAAGAAGAATGATCTACCTTTGACTTTTCATTCTGGCAGTCAGAGATTTAGGCCTATCTACACTACAGAGTTAGGCCAACTGTGTGGTCCTGTGTGATTCTGTAGCAACTGTGACATCACAGCATGGTGCTTGCTGGATAGCTATCATGAAACAGAAGTGCTTTGAATTCTTTTCAGTGAAGATTTATGAAAAAAATCATACCAGTTAAATTCCTAAACTTTTTTTTGGCTTCTGCTCTTTCTTCAGCATCAAAATACCACACAGTCATGGCATATCTGTGAACAAAAGGCAGTAATTTATATCTTACTCCCAAGATGACAAAAAGACCTAAGAACATTGGATTTTTATTCTAATACAGAGAACTAGAATGCACAAGTTTTAGCTATTGTAACAATTGGAAGCCTATGAATGAATAACTAATTTGACTTGCATGTCTGCTTATCATCCATAAGAGAATCTCTGTAAAGACAGGTTGTGTGTGTAAAATCCAGGGGAGAATGTACACTGTACCTCATGGAGGCATAGCACAGATCTGGAAGAGGAAGGGCAGAAAATGCTTTTAAGATCCTCCCATTCTAGATGCTCCAGGTGCTGAAATAATTCCTGGTGTGACTTAACTTGGAGGTTTCTCTGACTTAAGGAAGTCTAGCCAGGTCTGGCTTGCCTAAGGCTGGAAGCATCACCCGCTATGCCTGTTAATGCTACATGAAAAAGGTCTGTTCCAAGGAACCTCACACTCCTACCCGCCATTGCTGATTTATACAGTGTCTGCCTGAAGAATTCTTTCCTCCACAGCTAAAGGGTTCACATCCCCAGTATGCTGTCATAGTAGCATACAAGAGCAAGAGCAAAGAGGGTTGAAGGAATGGAGGATTTCACCCTACATGGCTACGTCTAGAGTGCAGGCTTCTTTCAGAAGAAGCTTTTCCAGAAAAGCTCTCTCAAAAAAACTTCTGAAAGAGAGTGTCCACACTGCCAAAGCACATGGAAAAAGCAATCTGCTTTTTTGAAATATAGTGTCCATACACTGTGGACGCTAACTCACATTTAAGTTGATTACCATGGACGGATTGGCCACCAGACCACCTGTGCTTTTTCCTCTTCTTTTGAAAGAGCTCCCTCTTCCTCATCCACATGTGCCTTTTTCCAAAAGATCTCTTTTTGGAAAAAGGCTTCTTCCTCATAGAAAGAGGTTTATCAATGTTAGAAAACCCCCTCTGTTCTTTCAAATTTCTTTCAAAAGAATGCGATTGCAGTATGGACGTAAGTTAAATTTTTTCAGAAAAACTCAGCAGTGTAGACATAGCCTGTGTTATGCACATATGGCTTGATCCTGCTTTTCATTTCTGTAGGACAATTTCCATTGACTTCAGATACCCAATGTGAATGGAGTGTATTTATAATGTACCTATGCATGTGTGCATATATACAGATATAAACCCCCACATAAAAGTTACATAATTTTTCTACTATAAATGTGTTAGATTACATAGCTCAACTTTTTCCCCTTGGCCACAGGTCAGTACTGAACACCTTATTTACCTGGTTGCATAAGAAGGTTGCACTTCATGTGGGTTCCTTCGGTCTGACCAGAAAAAAAGTAACCTGTCAAAAATGGGCTCGATATCGGCTACATAGGACCTTCCTTCCGGGAATATTCGAAGAATTCCACCATGAAGCTGAAAGTAGAGTAAAGGGTTATTTTTCTCTCATACTTATACTCACATGCACATGACTGGATTCCTTCCTCCCCCTACAAAAACACACAACAAATGTGGGGTAAAAGTTTTGGGCAACACAACAGCAGCACATTATAGTGCTGGAAAGCTGTGTGTTGCATCACCTTAGTCACTTTAATTTTAGCAAACTGTTCAGATAGAGATTTTCAATCAATTTATAGGAAGTCAGCCAAGATGAATCGGCAACTGCTTTTTTGAGACTGGACTTCCCCTTTCACAGAGGCCCTGCCACAAACATATGGAAACCACTTGAGCTCGCAGTCTAATTTCTAAAGTTTCATAAGACTCACAAGAAGATTGATTGTTCATCCTTAGTGTTTTGAGATCAGACTTCCCTGTACGGCCTTCATGATGACTGTCAAATGGCATTTCAAAACCCTTGTACTGCAACCACAAATGAATTTGCTTTAGGGTCTGACAGTGGAACACTGCACCGGACACAAATATGCAGGTTTATATTTTGTATATAAAATTGTATATACAGGGGCCAGAAAGAGTAGAGTGGAGGATGTAGTGTGGTTTCTATCACTTCTATCATTCCAGTTTTGGACATCTCATGAGAGAAATCTGCACCAGTTTATGTGTATCAGTAGAAGTGCCTATGATACAGGTCTGCAATAAGTGGCCCATGCCATCCCTCCTCCTCCTCTACTATCCTCTTAGAGGACAAAGGGTATGTCTACACTACAGCCCTAATTCGAACTAACTTAGCTAATTAGTTAGTTAATTCGAAGTAAGCTAATTCGAACTAACGTCCATTAGTTCGAATTAACTTTGATAGGCGCTACACTAGCGCTCCGCTAGTTCGAGCTTAATTCGAACTAGCGGAGCGCTAGTGTAGCGCCTATCAAAGGTAATTCGAACTAACGTCCATTAGTTCGAATTAACTTTGATAGGCGCTACACTAGCGCTCCGCTAGTTCGAGCTTAATTCGAACTAGCGGAGCGCTAGTGTAGCGCCTATCAAAGGTAATTCGAACTAACGTCCATTAGTTCGAATTAACTTTGATAGGCGCTACACTAGCGCTCCGCTAGTTCGAGCTTAATTCGAACTAGCGGAGCGCTAGTGTAGCGCCTATCAAAGGTAATTCGAACTAACGTCCATTAGTTCGAATTAACTTTGATAGGCGCTACACTAGCGCTCCGCTAGTTCGAGCTTAATTCGAACTAGCGGAGCGCTAGTGTAGCGCCTATCAAAGGTAATTCGAACTAACGTCCATTAGTTCGAATTAACTTTGATAGGCGCTACACTAGCGCTCCGCTAGTTCGAGCTTAATTCGAACTAGCGGAGCGCTAGTGTAGCGCCTATCAAAGGTAATTCGAACTAACGTCCATTAGTTCGAATTAACTTTGATAGGCGCTACACTAGCGCTCCGCTAGTTCGAGCTTAATTCGAACTAGCGGAGCGCTAGTGTAGCGCCTATCAAAGGTAATTCGAACTAACGTCCATTAGTTCGAATTAACTTTGATAGGCGCTACACTAGCGCTCCGCTAGTTCGAGCTTAATTCGAACTAGCGGAGCGCTAGTGTAGCGCCTATCAAAGGTAATTCGAACTAACGTCCATTAGTTCGAATTAACTTTGATAGGCGCTACACTAGCGCTCCGCTAGTTCGAGCTTAATTCGAACTAGCGGAGCGCTAGTGTAGCGCCTATCAAAGGTAATTCGAACTAACGTCCATTAGTTCGAATTAACTTTGATAGGCGCTACACTAGCGCTCCGCTAGTTCGAGCTTAATTCGAACTAGCGGAGCGCTAGTGTAGCGCCTATCAAAGGTAATTCGAACTAACGTCCATTAGTTCGAATTAACTTTGATAGGCGCTACACTAGCGCTCCGCTAGTTCGAGCTTAATTCGAACTAGCGGAGCGCTAGTGTAGCGCCTATCAAAGGTAATTCGAACTAACGTCCATTAGTTCGAATTAACTTTGATAGGCGCTACACTAGCGCTCCGCTAGTTCGAGCTTAATTCGAACTAGCGGAGCGCTAGTGTAGCGCCTATCAAAGGTAATTCGAACTAACGTCCATTAGTTCGAATTAACTTTGATAGGCGCTACACTAGCGCTCCGCTAGTTCGAGCTTAATTCGAACTAGCGGAGCGCTAGTGTAGCGCCTATCAAAGGTAATTCGAACTAACGTCCATTAGTTCGAATTAACTTTGATAGGCGCTACACTAGCGCTCCGCTAGTTCGAGCTTAATTCGAACTAGCGGAGCGCTAGTGTAGCGCCTATCAAAGGTAATTCGAACTAACGTCCATTAGTTCGAATTAACTTTGATAGGCGCTACACTAGCGCTCCGCTAGTTCGAGCTTAATTCGAACTAGCGGAGCGCTAGTGTAGCGCCTATCAAAGTTAATTCGAACTAATGGACGTTAGTTCGAATTAGCTTACTTCGAATTAACTAACTAATTAGCTAAGTTAGTTCGAATTAGGGCTGTAGTGTAGACATACCCTAAGAGAAGTGCAACAGGCTGACTATATAGTCATATTTTTCCACTTTAATATGTGGGGGTATTATTCATAGGGTTGCCAGATGATTTCAGAGAAAATACCGAACAAAAAACAAACAAACCAACCAACCCCCCCAAAAAACAAAAAAACAAACCACCATGGCCCCTTTAAAAACCACATGGTGAGGCTTTTTGGCCCTAACAGGAGGCCAGCGGCCACCCGCCATCTTGCCTCCCTGTGCCATGCCATGCCGTGCCAAACAGCTCCCCTGTGGAACCTGGTAAGCTCTAGGGTTGCCAAGCTGCCTCCATATTGAGCCAGACAGCCCAGAATTTCCGTCTCCTGGCAGAGGGGGGGAGGGAGGGAAAAATCAGAAAGTACCGGACATTTTCGGTGTCTGGTATTCTCTGAATTTTTTTTTTTTACCAGACAGGAGGCGAAAATACCAGACTGTCTGGTTCAATACCAGACTGTCTGGTTCAATACCGGACACTCGACAACCCTAATTATTCATAACATGCTGTGGATTAAGGATTTTTCTATAATACTTATAAATAATATATTACATGCCACTCAAAAATCCTGTAATATAAATCACTTCTTGGAAGTTAGTGGAAGAAGCAAGTTGTAAATATGTAGCTGCTTTACATGACCAATGCATGTTAAGAAGAAGGTGATCTTAGCATTCTGTGACCAGTAAATAACCTGGGAATTGATGTGAAAGCATTCTAACAATGTAAGTCTGAAGAAACAGTTTCTGATTTTACACGCCTTATCTTCTTTATTATTTAAGGTCAGATAAATCCCCCGACTCTTGGTTGAAATAATTGCCTTGCAGTGTTACAGTGTGCGCTGTATCAGAAATGAGAGACAGCTCACCTTGATCAGAAAACAAAGTCTTGGGATGTGGCCAGAGAGGCAGGAAAACTATACTTGATTTCCCTTATGAAGTGATTCCCTGCATAAGGCAGAGCAGCATTGGGGCTCAATCCTCAACATCCATTCAATGTGTCCCCTTTATTGAAAATGGTAAGAAGTGCTCATGAAGAGCATTTATACCAGTTCTACTTTGGCCAGGGGTATTGAGGAGGAGAGATAATCCCTGAACCAGGGTATTCCCATAATGTCTTTATACCCATTTTATAGCAGTCTCTTATGTTTCCAGAGAAGCATAGAACAGCCTTTGTTTAACCAGGAATCAGTTACAATACTACCCAGGTCTTTAAATTAAGATGGAGAGAAATCAAACATTTCTGACAAGAAATTTTCTAGCAAAATCAGGAAAGATCACAGACTCCACATTTCTAATATCCCTAAGGTGAAAAAGACAGCATAAATTAATATCTTTCATGCCCTCTTCATGAATAATAAGCCACAAAAAAAAAGAACACAGATCCAATTTTTATAAATCCTTTGAACGTCAACTTAAAAAGGGACAGACCCCAAAATTAACCCGCCATTTTTGTTAAGACTGCTCCCAGGTTCCACTTAGTCATGAGTGGATGTGGTTTCTTTCTAAATGTGTCATTACTCTTTATTCTAAACAAAACTGAAATGCCAGCAGCCCAGCATGAGTTATTCTACAGCAGCAGTTCCCAACCTTTTCCAGATGGGGACCCATTTTGACAATTCAGGAAGACTTGGTGACCCAAGGCAATTCAAAAACAGGGGGGAGGACAGGGCACAGAGCCAACTGGGGAGACACTTGGCAATCTTTTTGAAATGTAATTGCGACCCATATATTTGGGTCCTGACACACAGGTTGGGAAACCCTGTTCTACAGCAACAAATTGGAAGAAGGGAAGCGGAGGAAGGGGACGTGGAAGAAAAAAAAAACCTATTAAGGAAACAGATATCAGTTTCAATCTTCTAAAGGGGTTGCTATAAACAGCAAGAAAAACCAAAATGTAACTGAAAAGTGCAGTCTTTATTTAACCAGCTGTTCAAAAGTTCACGAAAATGTGCAATACAAACAAACAACTGATAGCAACAAACTGTTTCTGGGCCAGCCTTCCCTTGTCTAGGAATATGGGGCTATTTGTGGCCCCTTTGGCTCACATACCTTTGAGTCCCAGTCCTTATTCAGGTAATAAATACAGGTGATGCACCGTCCATCGCCATTTGGATTGTCTACGTGACGCACATACCCAGTTCCGTTCCCAGGGTAGCAAGCTACCATTGCCTAAATCAAAAAGAAATATCCATCAGCTAGATTCTCCAAGACCCTCCCTTTGTCTCTAAACCTTTCTGAACAGGTGATTTGACTCTAAATTCCAAATTAATCAGTGTATCAATCCAAAGAGTCCAGTGGATACTATGAATAGAACCAGTCACATAAGTTCCTTTTCCCATATGATCCTGCCTCTGGACAATTCCATGTATGTAATGCATTTCGTGTATAAGAGTAAATACACTGGAGAGGAAAATAATTTATTGTGAGTAATTTGCTGAAACAGAGGGACCAACTTACTATCATATAAAAGCTAAGTAACTTTCAACAACAGCTTGTTACTCTCTCTTGAGCAACAAGCTGTTGTTGAGCATCTCAATAAAGGTTTGCTGGGATTTCTAAGGCTACATGGTCACCGTTAGTCTGAAATTTGGTCACAGTGAAAGCAAATAGCAATCTTAATATGCTGAAGTTTTGTCCCACGCCCACATCCTCCACTCTTCGCTCCAAGTTTCCTGCACGCATACTTCATGTCCAAAAAACACCAAATGCAATTACAATTTCAGGTTCCCCAGAAGTAAAGTGTGCAGAGATATGCAAATCGTTTGAGCTATGCTTGAACCAGGCTATACGTGTTTGCTGTCACAGTCCCCAGTCTGTGGGCCACAAAAGCAACCAAAACTTTTCAGAATCACAGTTTTTTCTTTGATCATCCTCAAACATGCTGATGTGTCTAAGTCATGGTTCCTTTAATTTCGCATTTAATGGTGAGACAAATCAACAGAAACCCAAACATGAATCATTTTGAACCACAAGACAGAACTAAAGAGGACTAGGGGGAGTATGCATAGTGCACTTGGAAGGGGGAAAAAAAAAAAAAAAGATCTTTGCAGCACGTACACATTTAACATGACTTCATCCCAATAGGCACGGGACTGGATACTCAAGCCCCTCCTCTGCTGTCCTGGCTCCTGCCCTTCTCACTCCCTTCAGCCCTTTGCGGACCTGTCCCCACTCCTCTGCACCAGCCCTTCTCTTCCCCCTGTGTCTGTCCATTCCTCCTCTAGCCCCACTCTAATCATCTGTAGCTACCCCTCTCCATCCCCTCTCCTAACACCTCCCTCTACCCACCTGCCCTGCCTCTCTCCTCTGATGCCTGTCCTTTCCCTGCATGTGTCTGCCCTTCTGCTTCACCCCCACAATCCCCTAGCATCTGCACCTTCCCTTACCCCGGCACCTTCCTAGTGCCTCCTCCTCCTCTCACTGTCCCTGCCCTCCTTGCCTTCTTGCTCCCTGGTGCCCGCCCCTTCAACATCCTTTGCCCCAGTTCTGCTCACTAGGGTTGCCAGATACTTTCGCAAAAAATACAAAACATGGCGGGGAAAAAAATTGGTGAGGAAAAAAAAAAAGTTGAGCAGAAAAACCACAAAACAAAAACAAAACTGCACCAAAAAACAAACGAACAGTCACTGCGCCTTTTAATCCCCACGCTCCTCCCAGACACAGCAGGGGAAGAATGTCCCAAGCAGTCTTCCATCCAAGAAAAAAAGAAAATACCAGACATTTTACACGTCCAGCGCAAGCCGCTCCCAGGACAGGACCGCATGCCCGGACTGGTGCAGAGGTCGCTCGCAGTGCTGTTTTTAGTACTGAAGTACTGGTCCCCATGGGTGGCCCTGGCTTGAGCTGGAGTCAAGCGGCAGCCGCACAAGGCCCATTCAGATGAAACTGCCCCGTCTGGAACGTACTTCGTGCAGCTGCCGCTTGACTCCAGCTCAAGCCGGGGCCGCCCGCAGGGACCCAGAATGACTTATTAGGCCACAAGAGCTCACTTTTTTTCACTAAGGGAACATCCACACTGTGGGCTAAAGTCAAGTTAAGATATTTAACAAAAAATACCGAACACCCCCCACCCCAAAAACGGGAAAAAATTCTGTTGAGGAAAAAAGGGGGGGGGGGGGAGACCAAAGTTATTAAGCAAAAGTTGCACCATTCCCTCCAGTTTCGGGAAACCCTAACCCTAACCCTAACCCTAACCCTAACCCTAACCCTAACCCTAACCCTAACCTCTCCCCCAGAGCCAGGCCCCCCATGTATCCCCACATTGCAATGCACTCACCCCTGCCTTAGAGCCAGACCCTCTAGATGCCCCATCCCAGAGCACTCACCCCTCCCCCTGAGCCAGGCATCCCCAGCGCTGGGAGCACCCTGCTCCAATCAAATCTCTCTCCCTCCTCCCCCCCTAAAGAGCCAGGCAAATTAATCTTACTTTTAAAGTGGCTGCTCCTCCCGCCCGGCCGCCTTGGCTCACAATTGTGTAGAGCAATGGTCTCCAACCTTTTTACACTCAAGATCACTTTTTAAATCTCAGAACAAGCGAACATCTACTGCCCCACCCCTCCCCCCAAGACCCCATTCCTTCCTTGAAGCCCTGCCCTCTCTATTCTCTTCCTCTCCATCACTTGCTATTCCCAACCCTCATTCCCCCAATTCTTCTGTAGGAAGAGGTTTTTCCAACATTTAGCCTGCCTAGACTAATTTTCTGACAACTGGACCAATTGTCAGAAAAAAAAAAACCCCTTCTTTTGGCAGCCCCCTTATTCCTGCAGACTAGCCCCATCCTCACTAGGTTGAGACAGGATGTGTGGGCTCTGGGGTGGGAATGAGGGATTTGGGTGTGGGAAGGGGTGAGAAGTGCAACCTCTGGGAGGGAATTTGGATGCAGGAGAAGGGGATGCTGGCTCAGGAATGGGGCTCCAGGCTGGAGAGTGTTGGGGTCAGGTGAAAGGTTGGGGGGCCTAGCCACAGGCTTATGGATGTGAGGGTGCAGGAATTTGGGTTGGAGTATGTGAGGGGCTCAGGGCAGGGGGTTTCAGTGTAGGATAGGCTCAGATCTAGGGTCCGGGGGTGCAGGAGTGTTATAATGCTGTAGCCAGATGGGGGTTTGGCCCCAATTGGGGGTTTGTTGGCGAAGATTCATTTTTAAATAAAAGACTATATCAAACACGAAAAGCTTCTGCATTGTCTTTATTTATGAGAAGGGCAGGGAACCTTTTTGAGTCAGGGGTCACTGTCCCACAGAAAAGTCAGTTGGGGCCACACAAGGGAGATGCAAAAAAAAAAAAACAAAAAACAAAAACAAACCAAAAAAACCCACAATACAACCTCCTTCAAAAAACCCCAAGCCTCACTAATGTGGCCCTAACTGTGCTGGTGAGAGCAGGGGACATGGTATTGGCGAAGGGTGTTAGTGGGTGCAGGGGCAGGGGACAGGGTGGCAGTGGGGGCAAGGGACAGGGTTCTGGGGTGGCAGGAAGCAGGGTTCTGCAGCAGGGGGCAGGGTGCCAGTGGGGGAGAGGGACAAGGTTCTATAGCAGGGGATAGGGTGCCAGTGGGAGCAGGGAGTCCCCTGCACCCACCTTCTCCCAAGACTCCTCCCCCCTCAGAGCAGGGAAGCCCCAGTGGGTGCCTCCTCTGGGGCCGACTCCCCCCTCCTGAAGAGAAGGGTGCACCTGGGCTGAACATCCGCTGCCCAGGCAGCCCTCCTCTCTGCTCCAGCACCAGCTGGAGTGAGGCACAGTTTCCCAGGGCTGAGCGTGGTGCAGCTGGGCTGGAGCAAAGAGCAGCGGCTGCCCAGCCAGCTGGCCATGGTGTTCAGCCCAGATGTACCACGCTTTATCAGCTGGAGCCCCCTCCTACTGCCCTTCGCTATGATGCTGCCATGATCCTCACTCCCCTGCCCCCACCAGATGCGGCAGGGGAAAATTGTCCCCGCCGGGCTTCCGTCCGAGAGAAACAGGAAATACTGGACATTTCACATGTCTGGTATTTCCTGTGCTTTTTTTAAACCGGACGGAGCCCACAAATACTGGACTGTCTGGGTGAATACCATCCACAGGCGGCAGGTTGATCCCCGCGTAAACCCAAACCACATTGCAGGCCGCATGTTGAGTAGCCCTGTCCTATATGGTGCATGGGGAGATTCAATTGCCTAAGGCAGGGATCTTCAAAATCCAGCAGGCTGAGCAAGGAGCTGCCTAAGCTAACCAGAAATGAAATGTCAGAGAAGGACTTGAAAAAAAGAGGGGCTTAGGCCCTTAACTGGCTGACCTGGTGTATCAGGCTGAAGGGCTAGAGATGGGTGCCTATTCAGGATCCTCAGTCCCAAACCCTCTCCAGAAGTTACACACCTAAGCAAGGTCAGCCCATGCCCTAAGCAGCCAGAACCTTGTTGAATTCAGCAAGTGGAGGTGTAAATCTACAGCACACTAGCACGCCATGCACTTGGGGCCAGTCACAAAAGGTGACATTACTGGGCCCCAAAGGGGTTCAGAAAGGCCTCACTCAGTTGCCTCAACACTCTTGGCACCTAAGTGTCTACAGTAAAAAACTCCCTCTGTGCATGTGTGTTCTGCTGCTTTACTCTACACAGGGGCAGATGACAGTTTTGCGGGGCCCCGGGCAGCATAATTCCGCAGGCCCCCTTTGCCCCTTTGAAGCGTGGGGCCCGGGGCGGCCGCCCCGTTTGCCCTGCCCTATGTCTGCCCCGACTCTATATACATCTGGCTTACGCCATAGAGCGATGCAGAACTTCTTTTTTCGGGGGGGAAGGGGGCAATAGGAGGAGAGCAGACAATCATCTTTTCACTTTGAGCCCCACAGGTAAGCTATTAGGTAGGTGTCTTCACTGCTCACCAAGTGGACTGAGCCTTCTAGGTGAGCCAACACAAAAAACAGGCACTTTCAGCTCAGTCCTTAGGGTACTCATCTGGGATGGGGAAGGCCTTGATTGAAGCCCCTCCCACACCTGACTATCTGTGGGTGCTCTGCTAATCAGCTGGATGGCATCTGAATCTCTCCTGGGTGGTCACCCAAGTGCTCAGCCTACAGGGAAGGTTGCCTTTCAAGCAAGTGCCCTTGCAACAATGCTATAAGGCTAGCCTGGCATGAGGTTTTCCCCTGCTGAAGCTCTTCCACTATGAATAACTATAGGTAGTATCTCCCTTAACCCG